GGAAACCAATCAATGACACTCTCACTAATGAATTGCTCCATAGGTATTTTAAAGGCTTAGGACGAAATATAAACTACCGTATCACGTGACACGAAGGTATAACACTACAAGGTATTGCGAAGGACACCAAGGATGAATCACTACTGCAATATAGGACCGCGAAACGTTACGCAACGTACTACAAACATACGACACATTGGTACAACGTCACACGGAATTGGAACAAAGGTTGGGTCAATAGACACGAATCTAAACCCCATGGTATAAGTCTGGATAGCATTTCGATATAGGTTTCGAATATAAGGCTGGGCGCAGCATCGACCTTTGGATGGATAAACACCGTCTGGTATTTTAATCCGCGAAACGTGACACGACCGTACAATATACCGTACTAGGACGGATAACACACACAACCGGGAAACGTAGTACGAAGCTCCGGACGACACCGTAACACGAGGTTACCACCACGCCGCCGGAACGCCGCCATATGCTCCGGATACTGTCGGAACGAGAGGTTGCCGCAGTACCGCCGGAAGGACGACACTAGCCCGGGACACCACTGGAACAAGCCGATGCCGACGTAACACGAGGTTGACGCCGCATCGCCGGGATGACACTATATGCGCCGGATGCCGCAGCAATACAGGATTGCCACCGTACTGCCGGGACGCCGCAGTATAGCAGCGTACAGGACGCTACAACACAATACCACGGCAAAGGATGACGCTGTATAATACCGTACAACACGCTGTAATAACGCCACAGTACAAGCTACCGCTCCCGCTGCAATATAATTAGCCGCCGTAAGCTAGTATATGACGCCGCAGTTGATGGTACACGAAACGCCGCTGAAATCGATGCCGCCACCAACCACAGTGTGCCGCACTATTCCCGCCGCAGGAAGTACTATCACAACCGCCGCCGCAACAAGCCACACGGATGCGCCACAGTATAGGTCACGCCGCAATGTAACACGAAGCGCGAAAGTATGATACAGGAAAAACACGAAGCAAAACGTCGCCAGGATTGATGAAACGCCGTATAACGTAACACGGACGACGCCACACGAAGCCACAAGCCACCGAAGCCAACGCCACTCACCATTGGATACGCCTATACACTAGCCGCACGACGCTATATAAGCCACATCTCCGCCTAATTATGTCAAAATGGCCAAAAATTTTTTTTGAGGTCATTGAGGACAATGACTTTTTAAGGAGGGGAGAGTGTAACAATACAAATGGTGAAAGGAG